GTTCCGGGGGCCTCGGGTGTGTTTCGGGGTGGTTTCAGATCATTTCGGGCTGTTTTGGAACTGCTGATATCTGGTATCTGGTTTCCTTCTTCGCGAACGCGAAGAGAGTCCCGCGTTCACGAAGAGCAATTCTGAGGCTGTTGGTTTTTGGCCTTCACGAGTGCGAGGCACAGGTCTTGAACACGGAGGGGTCGCTTGAGGAAACTACGCAAACGCGAAGGGTCCATCGCGAACGCGTAGCTCTGAGAGCGGAAAGCTTCATGAACGCGTCGTGAGAAACGCGAACGCGAAGAAGGAAATTCTAGGGCGAAGATGGTTGTGCTTCGCGAACGCGAGGTTATTTCCGCGCTCGTGAAGAGGAAATCTCTGGGCTAGAGTTACTGGGCATCGTGAATGCGAGGGCATGGGCGTGTTTGCGATGAAGGTCGCCTGGGCAGTACATAAGTTTTAAAAATGGGTTTTGGCTCAATTCATCTCTAATCTTTCATGGGAGCCAATTTTGGGAGCAACTTGGGAGTGCCATTTTCATCACCAAGCATGGGGTAAGTGGTTCATACTAGTATTGAGTTAAATACATGATTATATATAGATTTGAACATGGAAATTAGTGGAAATGTGGGGTTTGGTAGAAAAGCTAAAATTTAGTATTTTTGGATTTTTACCACGGTGTTGGACATAGAACTTGGAATAAATTATATATTTGAGTTCATGACGTTATGGGTAAAGTTTATCTTCAAAAAATTTCGGAATCCGAGCACGTGGGCCCGATGATGATTTTTATCGACCTTTCGAACAGATGTAAATTGTTGTAAATTGAATTATGATGAGTTTTAGAGTATGTATTTATGGATTTGCATATTTATTGGCTAGTTTTGGAGCGTTGTACATCGACTTGAGTCGTCGGAAGATCTTGGAAGTCGGTAATAGAACTTCGGAGCGAGGTAAGTCTCCTTTCTAACCTTGTAAGAGGGAATTATCCCCATATGTGAAATGATTAAATATGTGCTTCTATTTGTGGGGGCTACGTACGTACAAGGTGACGAGAGTCCGAGCGTAGCTACTATTATGCTTAAGTTCGGGTAGAATAGGGCCCAAAAGCATGCTTTACTTGCCGTACTTGTAACTTTATTGACAATTTAAAAGGCTTAAATCATGTCGAACTTTGTAAACAAATTGCTAAAGGGCTAAACATCACTTTCTCGACTGTTAAAAGAGAAGTTGTCATTTTCCTTGAGTAACTGTTTCCTTGATGAAGTCTTGATTGACTATTTAAAATGTGTGTATGTATGTGTACCTGCGTCACATGTGTGATTCGCGAGCGGGGTAATTCTTTTATTTATATTCGATCGCGTCGCATGTATGATTCGCGAGCGGTGTAATAGATGCATCTATGGTTTGCGCTATTCGACCCTCTGCAATGCACAGTTTAAATATTATGTTTGATCGGGCCGTACGACCTCGGCATGGATTGTGTATCCTTGTATTGCTTGCCTTGAAATTGTAAATAATGATATTGTCTCCCTGGCCTGAGATAAATTTACAATCGAGGAAATATGAACTTCGAAATCTCTTATTATCAGAAGGATTGTTTACTTGCTACATGATTCTCCTGAGTTTACTGCTGTTTTTAATAATCCACGACTGATTATATTATTGGACCACTAGAAAGTGATGAAGTCGACCTCTCGTTACTACTTCTTCGAGGTTAGACTGGATACTTGCTGGGTACGCGTTGTTTTCGTACTCATACTACACTTGATGTGCATTTTTGTTGCACATGTATGTCTAGTGGCCTAGTTGGGCGCAACAGCATGGTGGATACGGAGACTTAGGTGAGCTGCATCTCTCGAGATGACCCGCAACCAGCAGAGTCCCCTTCACAGTATTATATTTCCTTTTCTGTCCAAATTTGTATTCCGGACAGATGTTGTATTTTATGTATATTTCTTAGTTGATGCTCATGCACTTGTGACACCGAGTTCTGGGATGACTATGAGATTTTTCAGTATTCAAATTTGTTAAAGACGATTGAATATAAATTATGGGTCTGGGAAAGAGATGATAACTTACTCTCGAAACAAAGAGCAGAGCCTGGAAACAAAGGAGGTGGAATTAACACAACTTTGTTCCATGTAAAATGATGAAAAATAAGTTTAACAGGATCCACATACTTTGATATAAAAATATAAAATTGTATAAGTATAATGAAATACAAGAAGAACAGTACCGTGTGTTTAACATTTTCGAACTTCCTCAAAGAGTTAGTGATATCTACTTACAAAGTAGCAGGTAAAAAGGCCTATTCATATACAAACCTAAATTGTGGCATCCATGGTTGAAAAAAGGTACTTGACCGATTTCCACTGAATTGTCAATATGATGTTCTTAAATAGTATCAGTAGAAAGTGACTATTCAATTACAATTTTTAATTATGCATATGAATCTGGTAAATTTATTGTAATTTCTCAAATTCTTCACGTATTGAGGTCAATGAAGAGAAACTTAATTAAGGGTTTTAATGATCCACAACACTAAACGGAAGGTAATTCTACTTTTGGATGAAGGGCAAAATAGTGTACGCGCGTTGCGCGTGTCCCTATATCAATGAGCATATAATTTAAAAATAATAAAATATTATTAAATAATATAATTGAGTTAAAATATAAAAATTTAAAAGGTGTACGTTCTTGAAAAATAAATAATGTTAATGACGTATAGATAGATAAAGAAAAAGGTCTTGATTTTGAATACGAATTTCATAATCAATTTGAATACGAAAATATTGTCCATCATTGATTTTATCAAATTTAAGTGACACAATCTAGTTTGTTCAAAGCTTACTATAAACTAACATCTAAACATTAGAAAAATTAGTGAGATAATCTTAATTGCTTTTCCTCGCCTAATAATAATGCAGAGCTTTTCAAATATACTTTTTTATTAATTGTGATTAATGAACTATTACAGTCATTCAATCTTTGAGCTTGTCACCTATCTCTTAATCAAACTTTTAAAAATAGATTATATCTCCTTATTCAAATGTATGGCCTTTGACCAAAATCTTATAGTATTTTTTTTCTCTTACTATTAAATATCCCCTAAGTATTTCTTCATATCAAAGTTTCAAAAGATATGTTCCTTATTCTTCTCCTTTCAAAAAGAAAAATACATATTCTCTTTTGTGTTGTTGGTTATTAACTAATATTATAATAAATTTTAAATTGTTAGGGCTAATGATAGTAACATCTAAAAAGAGATTTATACATCATATATTCACAAAAAAATGGCACAAATCTTGAGAACCTAAAATATCATTAAATGTAGAAGGAGTGTCGACTGATGTATCGATTTTAGTAACAATCAGCCCTTACTTATTTTCGTGCAAACTTTTTCATTTGAAGTATTCTTGTTCATCATTATATCCACGCTCATTTATCTCACTTGAGTTGGCAATATAGTATTTTTTGATTGGATTTATCATTCGAAGCATGAGATAATATACTTTAACATTCTCATTCTTTAATTCAAAAACATATTGTTAAAACGGGCTACAACTTAGTTCATTTGTATTTAATATTCATGACTGTTATAGCAATATTTTTTTTGTTAATTTTAAAGTTATAAATATTGAAAAATAACTAAATGACAAAATTATATTTAATGTGTATGATATAATATACATGTTATCCATCATTAATTATTTAATTTTTATATTAAAAATTAAATCACCTTAAGGCTTTGTGCGCATGTGAAATATTCAGATTAACAATACTCAAGATGGTTCAAACCAAATCGGAAAAAACGGAATTGACATATTTGATGATTCTTACGTGGTTAGAAACTACAAAATTTCTAACGTGTTAAAAACTTTGAAACATTTAAGGAAAATACTTACACAATTTAAATATGGAAAAAAGTTATATAAGTAAAAATTACAATTAAACTCAATTTTAGACCTAAATATGTAAGAGTTTCTACCTAGTTCAAATAAGGAAGGATTTAATGAATAAAATTATTTAATTTTTAAAGTCCTAAATATTAGGAATATAAGTAAATTACAATTACAAATTTGTCCAATTTGAAATCTATTTTAAAGGGCAAAAAAGTCGAACGACATTTCGCTAAGGGCCTTCGTACTTTTAATATAGTGTGTGTGTGTGTGTATATATATATATATATATATATATATATATATATATATATATATATGTGTGTGTGTGTGTGTGTGTGTGTGTGTGTGAACTTCTTTTAACCCATTATTGTGTTTCTTTTAACCAATACCAAGATTTTTCAACTTATATCTATTTTTAATCTTGATAAGCATCAGTGATAAAGATTGTGCATGTGAAGATGACAGATCAAGTATTGATTCAGGCCAAGAATCGTTAGGGTTTTGCTCTAAACTTTTAATCTACTAGGGCTCGCTTTCTTGAAGGAAAGAGAAAAAACTCCTAGAAAGTATAAATTTCCTTCTTATG